AAGGTGGAAAGAGGGAAGTCACCTGGTTAGGGACCCCAGGACCTAGGGACAAAGTGATAACAAGGCATCCTACAACCCACCATTCAACAGAGGAAGGCAACCAAGGCCGAGCATTTTCTTACCCCAACCTAGTAGCAGAAAGCGACCCAGGGAGGTCCATTCCTCCCCTAGATTGGTGGAATCCGAGGACCAACACCAGACATGCCCAGCAACACACACCAGGGAGAGGGGCCACTCAAAACCTTGGTGATAATAAGTGACCAGAGCAAGTACTCACCTTCTCCAGCAGGCCTGAGACTCACCTCCTGCCCAGAGACACAGGACAGCTGGTGGCAAAGGCAAGAGAACCTGCTGCAACAAACACCGAGCCCAGGAAGCCTCTTCACCCCCTTGAGGTGGAGACTCCTGCCCCCACCTAGGGGGCCCAGGGCCCAGTGTGGGGAAACTCCTGCCTCCCCAGGCAGTAGCAACAGAAACCACTGGGAGCCTCACAGCACAGGAAAAACCAACAGACCATAGTAACACCACAAAGTCTCTGAAGATTAAATTGTCATTAGAACCACAGCCTACAAAAGAAGACCAGGACCTGTGTGCTTAAACCTAAACAGGGTGCCCACCTGCTAAAATAAAAGATTTAATAAGGACCCAGGGTTTCCTAATACAATAGTTAAAATTTTCAGGATACAAGATCACCTGTCATACTAAGAGTATGGAAAATCACAATGTGAATAACACCAGTCAACTGAAGTTGACATGGAGATGAATCAAGATATCAAATTATCTGGAAGCCACCATAAAACAGTTTCAATAAGCAATTAAAAATTCTCTTAAAACAAATGGAAAAATAGAAAATCTCAATCCCAAAACAGAAGTTATAAAAAAGAACAAAATGGAAATTATAGAACTGAAAAATACAATAAAAAAATTTAAAATGATGATGGGCTCAATAGTGAGTGAAGATGACAGAGGACAGTATAGAGCAAAGTTGAGGACTGAGTAGGCCAATTTACCCAACGTGAGCAGAAGAGAGAAAACAGAATGAAAAAAAGGAACAGCCAGTGGGACAATAACAAAAGATCCAACATTCGTGCTATTGGAGTCCCAAAGAAAGGATAAAAACTGGAGCTGAAAGGATGTTCAAAGAAATGATGGCTGAAACTTCCAAAGTGTGATGAAAGACATAAATCAACAGATTCAAGAGGTTGAGCAAACCCCACATGGGGTAAACCCCAAGAAATCCAAGACAGAACACCATAATTACACTTCTGAAGACTCAAGACAAACAAAAATCTTGAGAGCAGCCTGAAAGAAAGGACACATTCACTGCAAGTGAGCACCAATTCGAATGACAGCAGGTTTCTCATCTGAAACCATGAGGCCAGAAAGAAGTGGTATGTTCTTCTGGTGCTGAAAGACAAGAAGTGTCAACTGCAAATCCTATATTCTGTGAAACTATCCTTCGGGAATGAAGGGGAAATAGAAGCATTCTCAGATGAAGGAAAACCAAAAGAATTTGTCATTAGAGATCTACCTTAATGAATGGCTAAAGGAAGTTCTTTAAACAGAAAGAAAATGATAAAATAAAAATCCTTGTAGCATTAGGAAGGAAGGAAAATAATGAAAAGAACAGAAGCAAGGACATACGATAGATTATCCTCCTCTCTCATTTTGTAAATCATATTTCCTAATTAAAAACTCTAATACAATCTGATATGTATGACAATGACATTTAAAAGTGAGGAAGGTAAAGGGACCTAATGGAAGCGAGTTTTCACCTTTTACTCAAGGTGATAAAAGCTTAATACCAATACACTTTAAGTCACAAATGTATTGTAATACCCAGAGTGACCACTAAGAAAATTATATAAAGAGATACACTCAAAAACACTATAAATAAATCAAGACGGAATATCCCAGGGACATGAATCCACACCATGGAATGCTACTCAGCAGTAAGAAGGAATGAACTATTCATTTACACAACTTGGATGAGTCTTAAGGGAATTATGCTGAGCAAAAAAAGCTAATCCCAAAAGATTACATACTGCATGATTCCACTTATATAACATTCTTGAAATGACAAAATTAGAGAAGTGGAGAACAGGTTAGTGGTTTCCAGGGGTTTGGGATGGACGAGTTACAAGAAAAGTTAGGTGGGTTATAAAAGGGGAACGTGAGAGGTCCTTTGGTGTTGGAATTGTCCTGTATCTTGATGAGCCTTACAAGTGATAAAGTCGCACAGAGCTAAACACACACACACACACACACACACACACACACACACACAAATGAGTACAAATAAAACTGGGGAGGTTGGGATGCTATGGGCGGATTGCATCAATGTCAGTATCCAGTTTGTAATCTTGTGCTAGAGTTTTGAAAGATGTTACCATTGGGAGAAACTAGGTAATGGGTACCTGAGATCTTTCTGTATTACTTCTCATAACTGCATGTGGATCTATAATTATCTCAAAATAAAACATTTAATTAAAAACGGGGCTGCCCAGGGTCGAGTCGCACCCATTCTTGCCTTGGGATGTTGTGTGGCAGGATATGATATTGGAGCTGTCTACGACTGATGAAGGGAAGCCAGGTGGACTGGAGGAGGGATGATCCAGGATCTGGTATCACTGAGCCACGTGTTTAACCAACCATGGGCCCACCCTCTTCTCTCTCTTATTCTGTGGGATGACAATTTCTCATTGCATAAGGCACTTATACCTGGGTACTCTGTTATTTGCAACTGAAATGGTGTAATTGACACAGGCTTGAAAATTCAAACTATCTCAGATAAAACAATTATTGGAATGGCTTGCCAGATAAAATATAGGAATCAGTTACATTTAAATCTCAGAAAAGCAATGAATAATATTTATAATATGCCCAAATATTGCATGGGACATACTTTTACTGAAAATTATTTGTTATTTATTTGAAATTTAAATGTAACTGGATGTCCTGTATTTTTATTTGCTAAATCTGGCAACCCTATATTGGAATGGGAACGGATGTATACGGCAACTGAAAATTAGTATTTTTATGTGCCTCATTCGATTCAACTCCCAATGAAGGGGTTGAAATTCAGGATTTATCATTTAAGAAAAATATATTTTAGGAGTAATAACGCCATATTTGTTGCATGCATAACAATGTTAAAAATGGGAGTCTCCTTATCTCAGTTTCAGCCAAGCCCTCGAGATAAGAGGTGTCAGCTCCACACCACCCCCGCCCCCTGCATCCCACACAGGGCGCAAGACCTATAGGGGGCTTTCAAAGGAGGCGCTAAAAGTCAACTCATGATTCTTGCCCCTCATCAACCTTCTTGGCAAAAGCTACAAATTCACTCTGAAGCCAGCACAAACTGGGGCAAGAGAGACTCCTTCATAGTACATTGGTACATTATCCTTTGGGACTAGGCACTTTAATTTCTGAAATAAGGCTGTTCCTACTTTGCAAAGTGACCAGAAGTCTTTGTATAATTCAAGAGTGATTGGAAAAGTTACGAGGACCAGCCTGAGACTTCATGCAAGGTGGCGGGAAAGAAGTAACTCACAAAGCAGATTCCGAGGCATGTGAGGGGTAAAGAGGATGGCTGCTTTCTGCTTGTGGCATGAGTGTCCTGCTCCTCAGGGTGGTACTGTGTGTCCTCTGGACACTGGGCACGAGTCCAAGTCCTTGACAAATACTAGTGCATTCAGTGCTCTCGACAGCCCAGTGAGGTACCTATTATTATCATCTCCACTTTACTGGAAAGGAAACGTAGGCCCGTAAAGTGGAGCAGGTCACTCGGGATTACACATCTACTATGAGGCAATGCCAAGGTCTGAATTCACACATTCTGGCTCCAGGACCACCACTTGTAACCATTATGCTATACTACCTCTCTCATTAAGTGGAGCAAATGCAACCAAAATTACTTTAAACGCTTTACATTTTCTATACCCCAATAATTTCATCATCATGACCACCACAACCCCACCACCCTCACCATCATCATCAATTCATTAATTCTATATCCCCATCAAGCACGTCCTGTGTGCCAACATACTCGGCACTGTTTTGTATCACAAGAATCGATGACTCTTGAAATAATAGCGCACAAAATAGGGATCATCATTTACTGAGTGCATGATGTGTACCGTACTAAATGTTTTACTTATCTCATTTAATCCTCTCAACAAACTCATGAGAATGACTTCTTCCACAGATAAGTGAATGCAGTTAGGAGAGAATAAATTATCCATGGCTAGTAAGAAAAAGATTCACTTTCAGATCTGCTGCCTGGCCTTGGCCATCACAGCATGTGGCCTCCCTGACAGGGTTTCCTCTCTCCAGGTAGAGAGCTGGGCTAATGGACTCAGCTGGGCAAGAGAACACTCCCCCCGGGCCACTGCGGCAATTGCTGACACTCTCCTGCATTCCAGCCTTTCCTTCTGATATTTCCATTTGTTGGGGGATGACATTTCAATGTTTGTAATTTATAGTGCAAATATGCTTTACCTTGCTCCCTACAAAATACTTACATCAAAATTAGGATTGCCAGCTAGCAGACTCAATAGGCGGGCACGCATCTTTCTAATATTTGGACAGTGTTAAGGAGGTCTGCAAATTTGGAAAATGCTATAATTGTTACCAGGCAGTCAGTGTGCCCCTCCTGATGCATTGTGGGTCAGGGAGAGCACGGTGTTTTGTAACCATGGAAACAGAGTTTGAGAAGCCTGAGAGCAAACCTCCAGCATCCAGATTATCCTTCAAAGATGGCAAAGGAAAGAAAAGCTCTAAAATCACCCAATGCATTGGAACTAGTTCTAAAATATCTACACCTTAATGAAACCAATTATTCTGGCTGACCTGGGAGACAGGGAGAGTGGTAGCCTACAGAAGTGTCTAATGAAGTCAGCCACCAGTCCCTAAGAGAAGCTGGAGCAACAGGAAGTGTTCCCCCCACCCTCTCACCCCCGCCCCCGACTCCTGCACTCGCTCTTTCTCTGTCTTTCCAGGAGGCATACACCATTCGAGAACTCCATAGAGAAGACTCTGCCATCTTCAGCAGCCCCACCCCTTACAGTCCTCCCCCCATTGGAGAACACGTACCGCTAACTTGGGCATCTCCAGCCAGCCGACACGTCATCAAGATGGGTAAGGCCAAGGGCCTTCTCTCGAAAACGGAATCCTTCCTTCTCATGTTGGCATCTTCCTGGGGATTCCTGGGGTTATTATTGAGGGTTTGGTTTCCAATTATGGTGAATCCAACAGAGCCTGTGAATCCTTTCCAGCCTCTGTGCCTTAGGGAAGCAGGGCGGGGGTAACATCTACCTTGTGTCTGTTTCCAAAAATAACTTGGAAATGGCACATTTTGTATTAGCTTTTGCAGACTTCCCAAGGCTGAGGGAGCCATGGCCCTCATTGCTGCGTTATTGATGGTGGTCTTAGAGAGAGATGGATCATGTCATCACTATCCTCTCACAGCCTCATCCGTTACATTGACTTAGCTGTATGTCCATCAAGGTAAGAACTTTGGGGCAAGAGATAGTTTCTTCACAGCACATCTTATTAGGTGACTTGGATTAAGTGGCTTGGGGTGCGGGATGCCCAGACCTACCACATCTCTGTCGGTGCTGAGGAGATGTCAGGGAATAAGTGGGCAGGAAGCTGAGAGGAAGGAAATGAGGGAACAAACCCACCTTTCCTCTTGCCCCCACCCTGGTCTGGTTCTGCACACCCTCTTCATGGATGGTGGCAGCCAGACCTGACCTGCGCTCCTCCTGAGCACACGGCGTGAGTGCTGATTGAATGAGAGCGTCGCTGAGGAAATAGCCTGTAAGGCAGCAATTATTGTTCATTTGTTGCTATGGTGTTTCTGTGGCCTGTTTGGATCCATGAATGTCTTGATTATTTTCAGTACCCACTTATAGAACATTCTCTTCATCACAAAGTGCTTTGAAACCATCTTCACAGGTCGCTCCTCAGAACAGACCCGCGTTAGTAACGGCACTGCCACTTCACAAATGAGCACGTGAAGTGGGGTGTTGTTTTAACAACTAAAATCAAGGAAGGTAAAAGAAAAGATGTACAATAAGTGACATTATCATTCTAATAAAGGAAATTCGGCTTTAGGTTAAATTATGTTTGACATAAATTGATGTTTTTATGTCAAAGGACATGACGATATCACTGAGGCGTTGACATCTAGCTGGTGTCACAGTTGGGAGGAAATATTATTTGAGAAACAAAGTTACTATTTTCAAAGGGAGCGAGGCCTAATGGGCCGAAGGAGGAGCCTGGCAATAACCGGCTCTCGAATCTCTGCTTCACAAAGAATCTATGTAGAAAATTACCCAATTCACAGTTCAATCTTTTATGTATTGGATCCCATAATCAGAGACTGTTTACAACTTATGAATAATAACACATAACAATTGTTATGTATGTACAGGTAATATTAAAATAATGTGAGCAATAAAAAAAGAGAAAATAATATCCTCTTGTGGGTAAGCAGGTCACGGTGTACTCACGCAATGGAATTCTACGTCTCGGTGAAAATGAATAACACAGAGCTACATGCATCGACACCCACGGATGCATCCCAAACGTAAACTTAACAGAAAAGGGGACTGCCGAGAATGTTATACCTCTTATGGAGACTTCAAAAATGTGCAAGACTAGGCAATGCATGGTTCAAGGATACATAGCTACAAGGGAACATTATAAAGGAATTAAGTGATAACGAACACAGCATTAGGATATGGGAACCTCGTGGAGAAGGGGGATGATGTCAGGGAAGAGCAGACAGCACGGGCTCCAGCAGCTGTGGTCCGGTTCCAGGGCTCAAGCGGGAGGGCTGGTCCTGGGCGTTTGTGATATTACTCCTTGTACCTCATGCATACTTGTCAATATCTTCTTTCACATTGATGAGCCACAGTAATGGCCATCAGTTTGGTTTTGTTTTCTTCCCTACCTGTGAACCTTGATTTTTCCCATTGTCCACGCTGGGCTGACCCAGCACTTGTTCATGCCAAGCAGGGGCGTTGCCTCGGGGCTGTCCCGGCCCACCATCTGCACAGAAAATAAGTTGCTTGGGTCAGAGGACGTGCTCTCTACTGTTTTGTGTAATGGGATATAAATGATCTCAAACTCCAATGATTACAATCAATAATAATGAGTATAACTAAGACCAGTGGCTGGATTCTCAATATGTGGGTTTCTATCTAAAAAAAGCAATTGTAAACCAGGATGATGATGAAGATTTTTAAAATTTTCAACAGAATGTGTTGGCAAAATCCTACAAAATAAAGTAGACGATCAGTTTTCACTTTCTTCTTTTATATGATTTCCCTGGAACACGAGATCCTGTGAGAAAGAGTGTCCGACAGTTTCCGCCGTCCTCTGACCGAAAGAAAGGAACTGGGGCAGAGGGAGCTGGGGAGGCTTATTTAAGGTCACAAAACACTCAGTGTCCCCAGGGGCTCAGTGTAGGCCCCGACTCACAGGTAAGTGGCCAGTCCACCATCAGGAGCCTCAGCTTTCTGCCCTCCTCCGATACATTACTACTGAGAGGAGGAACGGATCAAGTCTGGCGATCAGTTCTAATGCAATCAGCACGGATTTGGGAGGAAACAGTGCTCTGACTGAGGACTCGGGAGGCTGCCGGGAACTCGAGAGTGCTGGAAGGTCAAGGAGCAGGAAGCAGCAGCATTCTGTGTTTGCATGGAAAGTCTGGCCGGGATTCTAGCACAGGACAACAACAGTGACTGTGAACAGATTCAAGTGTCACTTCCCGTCGAAGAGTCAAGGACCCAGGTGGGAGCATCCAGAAGGGCCTGAGTAGGTGCAGCACCCAAGCTCAGACAGCCAAGGGGTAGAGAGAAGGAGCATCCTTGCCGTTCAGCTTTGGTAGGGGACCGCTGCACACATCATGCCACGAGTATGGCTCACCTCGGGGATTCTGCCAAGATACAGGGAATGACAAATGCCCACTGATCTATTCCTTCAACGTCAACAGATTTACACACACACACTTTTCTTCCCTGACATTCGTTTCCAACGATAACAAACCAGTTCTCTTTAACACAGTGCCACTCTCCTTATTTCAAACAAAAAAATGCACTCACTCCCTCAACAACCGCGACAACTCAACACCTCAATGGTTACAACTGCCTCTGCCCTCAACGCCAGGGTGTCCCCATCCTCAAGTACCACTCTTGTGCGGTCTTGCTATTCTGAAAACTGCGAGATAAATTACGGTCAGCTACCAACAAACTGTGTATGATAGTGAGGGAGAAGAGAGAGAGGAATGGAAATGGAAATTAATTAACTCATAAATATGTATATGACACAGCAAGGAATGAAATACCGGTGGAGGCCACAGTCATGATTTCTGCAGCTGCTCAGGAGGCCAAAGCTGATATTTATGACTTCTTTCTACCATCGTGTTTGGTTTGCCTTTGGCCAACATCTCAAATGGCTTGAGGTCCTTATACATGAGGGCTTCCAAGTGTTTATTCTTGAGGAACCTGAGAGCTTGCCAGTCCTAACTGTAGAGGATTGTATTAGTCAGGGCTTTCCAGAGAAACAGAGCCAATAGGATGTGCATATACGTGGAAAGAGATTTATTTTAAGGAATTGGCCCATGCAACTGTGGCAGCTGGCAAGTCCAAAGTCTGCAGCGTGGACCATCAGGCTAGAGACCCAGGGAAGAGCTGATGTTTTGGTTCAAGCCCAAATGCCATCTGCTGCAGGAATCCCTCTTCCAACGGGGAGGTCAGGTTTGTTTCAATCATGTCTTCAACTGATTGGATGAGGGCCCCCCCCCCCCCACCCACACTGTGGAAGGTAATCTGCTTTACTCAAAGTCCACTGCTTTAAATGTTAAGCTCATCCAAAAATACCCTCACAGAAACATCCAGAATAATGTTTGACCACATATCTGGGCACCACGGCCCAGCCAAGTTGAAGCCAAATTAACCATAATTGCTCTTTGATCAAATTTTACCACTGGACTTGTTGATATAACGAGACACCTCTCAGGCTCCCTTCCCTAGGCCCCCTTCCATCTCTCTTCTGCCCTCATAACCCCATTTCTCTTATCAGTTGCCCCCGTCAACAACTATTTCTCCCTTTTTCCTGTTTGTCTCAGTGACACAAGAAACCTGAAACGGCCAGCTGGCAACCTCTGTTTCCAAACGAGAGAAACCATTGATTTGGCTGCATACTAAATCCCTAAACCAGGCGTGTTCAGAGTTCCAGGAATGAGAAGCAAAAACACAATAAAAAATAAATAAAACATGAGCGGCTCTGCATGGCTTTTTGATGTGTCACTGGCCAGGCTACAGACCCCGGTCACCCAGTCACTGACCTAGTGCAGCTGTGAAGGGATTTTACAGATGGAGTGAAAGCCACTGAAGAGCTGATCTCAAGTACGGACAATCATCCTGTATGACCTGGGTGGCCCTGAGAAAGGCCCTCAGCACAGAGCTGAGGTGTCCCTGGGGAGACGAGAAATTCCACACCATCCCACTGGGATCTTCCTTTTGCAAATAGCTACTTTCACCTAATGTTTCTGAGGGAGGGTTCAGTACTTCCTCCCTTTTGTGATGGAATAGTGTTCCAGTGTATGCATACACCACATTTTATTCATCTGTTCATCAGCTGGTGGGCGCTGGGCTGTGCCCTCTCTTGGGCTATTAGGAGTAATGCTACTATGAATATCCGTGAACAAGTCTTTGTGTGGACACGTCTTCAGTTCTCCTAGGTATATATCTAGGAGTTGGATTGCTGAGTCTTATTTTAACCGCTTGAGGTACTGTCAAACTGTTTTCCAAAGTAGCTGCCCAATGTTACATTCCCACCAGCAATGTCTAAGGGCTCCAGTTTCCCCACAGCCTCGCCAACATGTTATTATTTTGCTTTTTCAGTGTAGACATCTTTGTGGATGTGAAACGGTATCTCATTGTGCCTTTGACTTCAATTCTCCTAATTACTAACGATGTGAGCATCCTTGCAGGCGCTTATTGACCAGCTGGATATCTTCTTTGAAAAAATATCTATCAGATCCTTTGCCCATATTTTAATTGGGTTCTTTGTCATTTTGTGGTTGAGTTATAAGAGTTCTTTGTATGTGCTGGATACCAGAACGTTATAAGATACATGATTTTAAAATATTTTCTCCCATTCTGTGGGTTGACTTTTCAATTTCTGGAGAGTGTCCTCTGAGGCACAAAAGTTTTTATTTTGATGAAGGCCAATTTATCTGTTTTTCCTCTGGTTGCTTGTGCTTTAAGTGTCATGTCTCAGAAACTACTGCCTAATCCAAGGTCATGAGGGTTGACACCTACATTCCCTGTTAAAAGTGTCATGGTCTTAACTCTTGTATTTTAGGTCCTTGACTCATTTTGAATTAATTTTTGTATACGGCATGAGGCCAGGGTCCAGATCCAAGCACCATTTGTTGAAAGGACTATCCTTTCCTCATTGAATTGTCTTAGTGCGCTTGCTAAAAATCCATTGACCTTAGATGTTTGGGGTTATGTCTGGACTCCAAGTCTATTCTGTTGATCACTGTAGCTTGGTAATAAGTCTTGAAATCACGAAGTGTGAGTGCTCCACCTTTGCTTTTCTTTGTCAAGATAGTTTTGGCTGTTTGGGGTCCCTTGCACTTCCACACGAATTTTAAGATAAGGTTGAGCCTCTTGGATAAGTTTGGATGTATTCAAATGATAACAGGGTCTCACAGGAGGTTGAAGGACAACACTTGTAAGATGTACAGGAACCAAGGCTGTTCTAGAAGGCCAGAGAAAAGGGACATGGGCTACCCTGGACATGGTTATGATGCTATCATGGCAGCATCTGTGAGCAAATTCTAATTGTCCCTAGGTTGTTGCTTCACTTTGTCCAGTTTCAACATCCTGGTGGATGTGTCCATACGGCTAAGTCTGGGTCCCCTGCCTAAGCTCTCGCTGTCTGGGAACAAGGAAGAAGTTTCGCTTTTCTCTTTGACGCTGGTGTTAGGAGATGGGACTCAACATCACATGACAGAGTCTCATTATATTTGTAAATAACATTCACTACATCGAAATAAGGGCAATTGTTTACCTTGTCCTTTCTCTAGACCAGAAACTCCTTAAAAGCAAAGACTATGCTTTATCCAACATTTTTACCTGTGGATTTTTCCTCTTAAAATAAATAAGTATTGAAACAAAAAGAGAATAATAACCCTCCCACAGCCAATGAGGCAGGCATGGTCACACTCATTCCCACGGGACAGGTGAGCAAAGTGGATCTTCAAGAGTAATTCGTTTGCTGAATTTCACATAAAAAGTAACCAACAAGGCTGGTAAATTCAGGTTACCAGAATCTAAACCCACACTCCCGGGCACTGCTGTACCAGACAGCAGGGGACTAGAGATTCACCTTCAGAGTCTGTATCAGTTTCCTAAAGCTGCTGTAACAAAGTAGCACAAACTGAGTGGTTAAAACGACAGAAATTTACTCTCTCACAGCTCTGGAGGTGAGAGTCTGAAATCAAGCTGGGGGCAGAATTGGTCCCATCTGAGGCTGTGAAGGGGCATCTGTGCCAGGCCTCTCTCCCGGCTTCTGTGTCTGCCAGTCCTGGGTGTCCCTTGGCTTGTAGACACGTCACCCATATCTGCCCCCATCGTCCCGTGGCCTTCTCTCCCTGGGTCTCTTCCTTTCTTCTTGTAAGATCACATTCGGAAGTTCTGGGTGGACATGAATTTGGGGGACAGCATTCAACCCAGTCCAGAGTCACACAGACCTGAACTGGGGTCTTGGCTCCTTACAGCCGTGTGACATCATAACCCTCATCCCCCTGGCAGCAGTATGACAGTTTGCCCCAGATGGTCCCTGTTGCTGTCATATAATTTTAATATTGTCCCCATTTATTCTCAAGCTATTTCCGTTTGAACAATTGATGACGCAGTCACTCCATGTGTAATGTGTGTGAATTCCCTAACGCACAGAAGGCCCTGAGTAAATGACAACTTCCATTATTAAAGGAAGCAGCGTTCAGGGATGGGGCCACATTTTTGGGTCAAGGCTTTCTGTAACTGGGAAGCGAAGGCTGAGGCCACAAACAGTTCATCAACGAAAGGGAAAGTATTACATTTCTCCGCGGCTCTCGGTCTGTGCTGTCCCATAAGGTAACCACTGGCCACATGTAGCTATTTAGATTTAAATTCATTATAATTAAATAAAATGTACTGAGCCTTACTCGAGGCCCAGTAGCTGCCCGGCTGGCTCCGTCTGGGACAGTGCAGACACAGACCCTCCACGTCACCGCAGAAAGGCCGATGGGACAGGGCTCCCAGGGCTGTCTGTCAACCTTGGCTGCAGGGGAGGCCCAGGGGCACCTTCCGAATCCCAACGCCGGGGCACACCCTAGGCGGGTTTAATCACAACCTCTGGGGGTGGGCCCAGGACTGTCTCCAGATGAGCATGCACCGGGGTCACCCGGAGACCGTGAAAGCACAGATGGCTGGGCTCCACCCCCAGAATTTCAGACTCAGTAAGGCAGGGGCGAGATGCGAGAATCTGCCTTTCTAACAAGTCCCCAGGGAGCACACTTTGCAATCAAGGCCTTGGAAGGAAGGAATTCCGGGAGAACGCCTGCTGCCCACAGCCTGCTTGCCCACAAAGCGGGCACCTCGCCACCCTGTAGTGCGAATAGCAGCAGAGAGCAGGAGGCAAAGGCGTGTTCCCAACCCGTGCACTGTGGCCCCGGGGAGGATGGCTTCCGAAGGGCTCCAGAACGAGCCAAGGCAGAGACCGAGGTCCAGTCGAAAAGGAAATCTCCCTGTTTCTCTCACCTCCCTTCCATCACTTTTTTCTCTTCCATCCTTCCGAGCCCCTGAGGCTGCCGGGCCCATCGTTTCCTCTCTAGTCCAGCTTGGCTCCCGTGGTGAATGGGGACGAGCCTGCCTGCCCCTTCCAAACGCCCCTGCCACTCCTGGAGGCGACAGCCTTGTGCGAGGCTCCCAGTCCTGAAAGGCATCTAGTGTTCCTTGTCCACTGGTCCCCAGCAAAATCAAATTCATGGGTTCTACCCGTGAAGACAGTGGCCCCAGGCTTGAGCAGCCTGAAACTTGTGGAAGCCAGAGACCCATGCGCAACGTTTTAGGATCACACCTTTAGACCTATAAATGAAACAGGCCCCAAGGGGATGCAACCCCAACAGCCTGCAGCAGCGTCCATCTAAATGAGCCCTAGGCTTCTGCTCAAATCACTACATGGTTCTGTTCAGACGATTCTCCTACAATATTAACTGTCTGGACACACGAATCTCCTTCTTTCTTGTTCTTCTCTTCATCCCATTTCACTTTAATTTGGGGCCTCTCTTCATTCTAAATGAATAAAAGCATTTATAAGCTATGCTAGCCATTCCTCACTTAGCCAGGATTTTCCATTAAAAAAACACGAAGTTCTAAACTAGCCTCAATTTCTGTGCCTCAAAGAAATGAAGGATAATTGCTGATCTGAGATTCCTAATTTCACTAAACCCCAAATCTTAAATGTTATGTTGAGGCAAAAAAAAAAAAAAATCTTCCCTATTTCTTAATATCTGTTTTTTTATTGGTATATTAGAATACAAAATGAATAAATCAAATTCTACCACAAACCAGAAGAAAAGTTACATCAAATCATTGGGAATAATGTGTTAAGATAGAATGCAATGCTCCTGCAGACCCTGAAAACACTCACCAGCCAGGGATCAGCCCATTTGTCCTGTTCCAACGACCTCCATCATAACAAACTGTGAAAAATATAAAAAACAAAACGTACAAAAATGAAACAAAGCAGTGCTTCGGATTTCCCAACAGATGTGCACGTCAATGGATTCTTCTCGAAAGTTAGCCTCGAACTAAATTTATTTCATAGAGTAATATGAAATATTTACAATGGCTCCCACATCTCCCAGGGGTTTCAGTTTCAGATCAGACGCTGCCTTTCCACGCACTCGAGGTCAAGCAGGAAGAGATTCCTTTCACCCTGGAAAGGAATCCAGGGATTCTGAGCATATTCCAGTTCATCTTTCATTTCGAAGCACTCCTCAGACATTTATGAACACAATCCCCTAATTTGGCAAAGAACCAGACCCCCAGCGAAGTCTTCCGGCCCTGCAGTAACAAAGCCAGCAGGTCAGCACCCAGGCCAGGGCTGGGGGCGGGCTCCCCGGGCCTCGGACCACCCTCCTGCCCCAAGCTTCAGCTCTTCAGTGAGGAAGTTAAAGAGAAGAACAGGAAAATATTCAAAATGCAATCACAGGGTGTCCATGCGTCAAGGACAGACCTTTGTTCTGTCGCTTTACAAACTTCGAACGTGGGCTCTTCTTCCTGAGACCACTGCTGTACTTTGTTCTTCTGGAAGAAAAAAAAAAGCTTTAAGTGCCTTAAAATGAGGCTTTCACCTGATACTAATTCTCTTCTTAGTTATAAAGGCTATTGTTTGTTTGAACAAAGAGGAATAGGAGCTGTTAGCCCCTGTTGACATTGTAGGAATGAGGGCACGGGGGAGGGAGAAAACCTCCTTCATTAACGAGCCAGGACGCTGATCGTCAGGAAACGGCCAGAAGCACCGAAAACGGAAGAGGACACCATATTTTTATATTCTTTCCATGCAAGCAAGACACTACACTTATCATCCATTAAATACCACTGACATACTCTAGATTGCTCTAGGCTTAGTTTAAAATTTAGACTACACAAGCAGTTGGAGTCGGATTTAAAAAAAAAAAAAAAAAATACAAGCCACCCTAGAATCCTGGATCAGGCCTGTGCCGTGACACCACGATCCTGCAGTCACTGAGGGCGTCCACGCAGAACACACAGGGCAGCCCACCATATTTGTCACGTGGGGGTCTCAGTTCACGCAAAAAATTCCTGGCCTTTTCGGACGTGGCAGCCTCTTACACAAAATAGGCTTTCAATAAATATTTATAGAAGAAATGACTGAATGAGTTTCACTTGGATTAAGTATGACTGGTCTGCGTGATTCACTTTCATTTCGGCGGTTTGCAGTCTGGCTGAAAGTGTTCCTCCGAAACCTCAGAGCAGAAAAGTTTCCTCTGCTTCGAGCTGCCTGCAGACGCCTCCGGTCTGAGCCCGCGGCCGAATTACGCAGTCACTCCCAGCCTTTCAGGCAGAATATTTTTATTAAAGAAAATCAAGCCGTCTGCAGAACACGCTATCATGCGACAGGCTTTCTCCTGCCACCTACTAATTTGACATCAGACCTGATCACGTGTCTGTTTCAAACTCAGAGCACAAGTGACATAGTTTTTTTTTTAATCTTTGGGGAACAAACCCAAAAACAGAAGACAAGGAAGAGTAACAATGTAGATTAAATACGAGGTAGGGTCCAGGCTTTTAACAGGATTGTTTTTAACTTAACAGATAATCAAATCATTAAATGAAGGCGTAATTTGTCAGCCAGAGTTTACTCTATTGTTCCCTGAACCAGCAAGGGAGGGAGGGGGTTGGACTAATTCAATTCACGTGGGGATCGGTGTTTACCATCTAGGAGTCCTAATGAAAAGACACACAATTTTCGAACTGGAAAAATAAATAATAATGCATATCGCCACTGAAGCCGCAGTAACCTTGCTGTGTTTCTCTCTCAAATAGAACAAGCTACATTTCAAAGGACCTTTTCCTTCCATGTGGAAGTATTTCTTTGCTAGCTCCTGAGGAGCTGCCAGGAAGTACCAAAGCGTCGCATGTTTAGAGTTTCAGAGGCAAATTGCTTCTGCACACGTTGTCTTGAGTCAATGGATTCTGCTGTGTTCTCTCTCTCTACGTCATGACTTCATTAATCTTTTTTTTTTTTAATATGAGACTTTCATTTATTGCTTCTAGAAAGCCAGGTGCATTGCAGTGGAGCTCTTCGGCAGAATCTATGTTTCGTGTGGATATTTACTGTTTCATTGTTGAGCCCCCGGATGTGTTGGGCGCTGGCAGGCGGCTGCAGAGAGGAAGGGTGGCCTGCCCAGGGACCCGGGAGTCGTGGGTCCCAGGCCCACCTCTTCGGGGCCACCTTGAGCTGGGAGGAAGTCGGATTTTCCATGACACACACGGACTTAAATCCTTCAGCGAATGAGAAATCCCCTGGGTGAGCGCAAACTTCCACGTTGCCAGCCAGAAAAAGAAAGTTCCCAGGATTTTCGTTCCCGAAGCTCTGAGCTAACAGCGTTTGCACAAAGCCGGGCAGGACGCAGAGGGCGCGGCGAGGGGCGGGCTCTCACCGGTGCCTGTTTTGCATCGGTTTACAGATGTGCTTAGGTTGCATTTAGACGTTGTATTTTTAAAAGTTAAATTTTGGCGTTTTGCATTTAATCCCGACTAAAGCTCTTTGGTCTGTTGACTTAAAAGGTCTTCAGATTGCCAAGACTTTGCAGCTTGGATAACATCTTTGGAAAGGTTAAACGAGTCAATCGTCTAAAGCTTTAGTCGGCACAGGCACGTGATGCTCTGCCCTGCTGGAAAAGCAGGGGGAACACCGAGATCTCCCCGCAAACCCTGTGCTTCCGCCGGCCTCTGGGCTCGCGGGGAATCCCGCCGCTGCAGGGAAGGCACTTCCATTAGGCGTTTCACTTCGTCCGAGGGAGGCCGGACGACCTCTGTCGGTATGGCCGCGGCCTTCCAAGAAATTCGAGCAAGATCGGGAGGAGGAGACGAGCAGCAGGCCTGGAGACCTGTCGGCAGGGGGCGCGCCGGCCCCCAGCAGAGACAAAGGCCAGACGCGCACCGCGCGGACGGGGGTCGGCCCTCGGGGTCTGGGGGAGTCAGAGGGGGCGCAGCAGGGCAAGAGGAGGGTCCCCTGCCGCCCCCGCCCAGCCTACAGCCGCGCAGCGTGCTCGCCCTTCTTGGGAGAGAGGAGCGGGAGCGTTGCTAAGATGGTTCCCATTTTCTGCGTCGTCGCAGGACTCTGTCCCCGTGTCCACAGGCTGCTCTCCTCCCCGCACCGGCACCCGCGTGGGTTCAAACGGTGGCGGGCGGCCCCGGGCCCTCGGACCTCCCCCGGCCGGCGTTCTCATCCTCCTCTGCCCCCGCCCCCGCCCGGCCCGGCTCCGCGCGGTGACCTCATTCCCACCCCTCCGAGCGAGTGGGGTGAGCCCGTGGCCGAGGCCGGAGAGCGGAGCTTCCCGCTGCCCCCAGGAACGTGCAGCACGGGCGGGACGCGCAGGCTGTTCGGTTTTGTTGTAAGAAACACCGTGTATTTTTTTCTAGCACAGGCCACACTCCACCACACTCGAGTACAGAATATTAATTTTTTTTTTACTGCGCTCTCACTTGCCGTCAAGGCTTTCTTCCTCCTTAGCATCAGGTAAGGACACAGCCAGGCACGGCAGGCACGGAGCCGCCGCCTCTGTCTTCGCCCAGATCGCAGCAGCCCGCTGCCTCGATGGTCTGAGGCTGCTGTCAGATGCGAGCGCGAGTTGGGTCAAAACGACTGGAAGCCCAGCCGAGTGAGGTGGGGGGATCTGGTTCCCCTGCACAGAGGGAGTCCCCAGGTGGAAGCCAGCTTCCCTCCAATAGGGCCGAGACGGGGGGAAGCGCTTCTGCCACGCGGCCACACCTGTGCCCACTGGGTGGCCCCCAGCAAAGCTGCAGTCTCAGACTCCTGGTCCCTTTCTCATACTGCCCCAAACGCTGGGGGGATTTAATCCAAATTTCACTTTCCCTGGCCACGCAGTCAGGTCTTTCCTAACATTTAAAGGGTTAGATGGGGGGAAAATAAAATCAAAACCAAGTTTTGGAATTAAATTTCCTCTGTATCTTCAATACGTTATGACAGAAATCCAGAAGGAGAAAAAATAATCAGGAGCAAACTTCTGTGGTGCTTTCCCACGTGCCCCAGTGAAGCCCGGCTTCCTCCTCCTCCCCACCAGAGCCGGGAAAGATCTGAATACTGCGATTATGACATACTGCAGTGGATACATTTTCTTTTTTTAAGATAAAAGTTTTATTTCAGAGAGAAGCACAAAGCCCTCACTGTCATGAACAAGCCTGGGCCTCGCCGGGACTCAAGGACCTTCCAGAAGGAAACAAAAGGCATTAGCTCTTGATTAAGAAAAGTCCGCAGTGCCCCAGCCCCTGGGCCTCCTGCCCCCAGCATCTCCATCCGCCCTGACTCCGGGCCCTGGGCTCTCGGTCACCCCTCCGGAGAGCTCCTCCAGTTCTCCAAGGGCAACAGCCCTGCTCTCTCCTTTTCAGGCCCCGTTACTCTTATTAAATCACCCCCAGGCCTTGAGCCTGCCCCCTCTGCCCTCTTATCAACCCTCTGCAGAACTCCGGTGACCTCCTGGATCCCCATGTTCAGCCATTCCGTCACCCTGCAAAGCCCCAGCCTTGACCTTAGTCCATTCTTCCTTTGGCCATCGCCAACATGGAGTGACCCCATTCAAACATTGACTCATTCAACACATGTCGATTGAGCGCCTGCCGACTGCTGAGTGCAGTGCTAAGCAGCGAGAGTCAACTGCCCTGTCT